ACACGCCATTCACACTGCCCTGGATAGGATAAGAAGGCGGAAACACAGCCTGTACGTGGGGGACTTCCTTTGTTAAAGAGCTAAGAGAAGGGAAGGCTCCAGGGAGACCTTATAGCACCTTCCAGTGCCTGAAGGGGCTACAAGGAAGCTGGGGGGGACTTTTTACAAGGGCCTGTAGTGACACGACAAGGGGTAACGGGTTTAAATTGAAAGTGGGGAGGTTTAGATTGGATATCAGGAAGAAGTTCTTCCTGGAGAGGGTGGGGAGGCACTGGGACAGGTTGCCCAGAGAAGCTGTGGATGCCCCATCCCTGGGAGTGTCCAAGGCCAGGCTGGATGAGGCTTGGAGCAACCTGGTCTAGTGGAAGGTGTCCCTGCCCATGGCAGGGGGGTTGGAACTGGATGGTCTTTAAGGTCCCTTCCAATCCAAACCATTCCATGATTCTAAGAACTGTATGTGTGGAAACATGTAGCTGAGAGATGTTTTTCAGCCACTTTATGCCTTGGTATAAGGAACAGCCATTTGAGAAGTTCCTTGTGCAGCATAGTGAGTTCGTTAGTGAAGCACAGAACATGAAGCATTTCTCGTAAGCTTTATTCCAAGATGAGAAGTGAACAGTGGTTTTCCTGTTCTATCCAAATGCTGCTTGCAACCTCTTTCCTACTCTTTGTTGCCAAGGTAATCCAAGCGCCGGGTGTTGGTAAGGAGCCTTCCCTGGCTGGCAGTGCAGCACTTGTGCCATGTTAGTTTGAGATAATGAAAGCTCAGTGACTTCATTTGTTCCCACTTTCTGTGTTTGCTCTTACCTCACGGGATTTTGCACGCTGCAGGAGCTGCGAGCGGCTGGGGGGACCTGTCCCTTTAGGGATGGCGCCGGGAGCAGACCGCACCGAGGTCGTGCTCTCTGCAGCACACCAGAGGTTTTTCTTCTTTGCTTCTTGAAACCATTAACTTGCAATAGGCCACAGATGAGCAGTTGGAAGAAGGTGATGGTTTGTTCTAAAGACACTGTGACTCATCAGGAAGTGTTTTAGCAGAAACGCATTTTTTCTATTTTTGGGATCCTGTTATATGATAGGGAATTTCCAGATCTTCAGAGAGAAGTAGCTTCTGCTCCAGGATCTTCCCAACAGAGATAAAAAGTAATATAGAAATAATTTTATTTTCTCAGAACTTACTCCTTGGTGGTCACTTTGTGGGTCAATAAAGAACTTACATAGTAAAATGCAGTTATCTGGTAAAACTCAGCAATATAATAGGGACGTTAAAAGCTCAGCAGCATTGAAAAAATTGAAAATAACCTCAACAGTTACATTTTGGTATTTTGCTTTAGCTGCAAATGATCTTTAAGGTCCCTTCCAACTCAAACCATTCTATGATTCTATGGTCTTTACAAGGGCCTGTAGTGACAGGACAAGGGGTAATGGGTTTAAATTGAAAGTGGGGAGGTTGAGATTGGATGTAAGGAAGACGTTCTTCCCGGAGAGGGTGGGGAGGCACTGGGACAGGTTGCCCAGAGAAGCTGTGGATGCTGAGCAGGTGGTGTGGAATTTCACTGGGACTGTGTGTACCCCAACAGGTGCTGCTGTGCTTTCTGTGCTTTCACTGCTGAATTAGCATCATGCGAAATGCTCGTTGATGCAGATGTCGGTTCAAACTGGCTGTCGTTAAGAGAAGGTTAAAAAATGGAAGGCAGGTGCGTAGCTGGATCGGCGCCGAGTGAGGTGTGATTTATCAGCCAAGGTCTCGCAGTTCAAGTCAGCAGACTGCAAGTTCCAGCTGAGGGTCTTGACCTTGGCATGTTTAATCCACGTTTTAGATTTGTTTGAATGGTTTGTCTGAATATTTGATCATGCCATTTCATCTAATTGAGCTAACTTGTGCAAAAGCAGTATTTAGTATTTGCCTTAAAGTGCTAGGGAGGTGGCAAAAAATAAAACATGGCATGAGAAAACAACACATCTTAATTATGTCTTCGGAAATCAAAAGCAGTTTCTTCTCTTTAATGATGTCTTCTCTTTCCCATATAGTTAAAGAACTGCTCAATCAAATCAAACAAGGATATGTAAAGATTTCAGATGCTTGTGCATATCCATTTTGTTGAGCTACAGTGTTTTGGAAGCTGACGTACCAAAAAAAGGCGGGTTTAATTTTGTTGGAAGCCATGCGCTGAGGAAATATTTCTTACAGGGTGTATTCCCATGCTTTGATTGCACTGACGCCCACGTAATCACGTAGACTCAAGCAAGCAGTGAAAGAATTCAAAATACTCCAACCTTAGTTTTATGGTTTTGAACCACCCGTGATGAACATTGTAGAGTTAGCTCAAGGAAGGTAAGGTCATACAGACTAGAAAACGTGTGTGTGGAACTGTATCTAACTACAGCTGGGAATGCATCAGTCAACCTAGAAAATGGGGTAAGAGAGGGCAGTCCCGTTTGTTGTAGAGGACTGCGGAATCGAATGAGCAGGGTAGTAAAAACTCAGTGGCCAGTAATACCAAAATATACATTTTGTCTGTTTATAGTTAAAAGGAACTTTTAACTATATCAGTTAACTTTCTCTCCCAAGTTGATGTCCTAAAGCCCTCACTTTTCACTGTCAGGAATAGCCGTCTGTATGTTCCCTCTCGGGGAAGCGCCGTTGTGGCGCCGGACCAGGATTCCCTGTGCTAGCTTTAGTCTGTGTTCCAAACCCCAGTGAAGCCTAACGGCAACCCGAGAGGTGCTCCTTTGCCCAGGTACTTTGCTCCCTAATGCTGGAGGGTCGGTAGCGTCTCAGGCTCGGTCCCATCCGGGAGTTGAACAGAGAATGGCATCATCCCTGCTCCGTCTATCGAAAGAAGATAATGCAGGGAATTCTCAGTGGGGATAGCTCCTTGGAACTGGATTCCTTCGAAAAGCTTGTTTTATTACTCCGGTTTGTTCTGTCTGTATCCAGCAGAGACTGTATTCTAACACCACTGCGGTTGCTGCATTCTGTCGGGGAGGCTTTCGTGAGTCAGAGGGCCTGTGCAGTAACAGCAGCACTGGAGAAATGCGGGGGGGGGTGTGTCTGGGTTTGGTTTGAATTTTACTGAAGCCTATGAAAGCTGATCTATTCCTTTCTTGTGTTTAATTTCGTGTTTTTAAAAAATGAGAATACTACTAAATGTCAGAGTAACTAATTTCTCTGCTGGGTTAACTCGGCTTTGTGCAGGGTCGTGTTCAGTTACCTGCAACCTCTGACTGCACGTGGTGACCGTGTCCTTGTAACGTTCGGCTCTGTAGGCTACGGCATCACTTGTGAGGGCTTCTCTTCAGTTACTGGAAATTAAGGTTAATGCCCATTGAGAACAGTCAGAATGACAGACTCATTCTTTTATCTTCAGGGAAGAAGACACCGGGTGAAGAAGGAACTAAAGTTACTAAGTGTGGGTAGACTGAGATATGTTCAGATCGTTCAGCTACCTAACTTACGCTTAGGGTTTGGCCAGGTCTGGCTTTGGTTCACAGAGATCCCTCACGCTGGGTGGTGTGTTTGGTGGTGTTGATGATGAGCTCGTTCTGTGCTCATTTCCCTTAACACGGTTGTCTGTCGCAGCCGGCACGGTGCTGTGACGCTGGGGGCTGGCTCTCGGCGTGTAAGGCGCGTGTTTAAAGAGCCGGATGCGTCGCTAGCGTGGACTAGAGCCGCTGAGCAGTATCTAGATGCTTCCAGAAGCAGGTGTGTTTTGTAACAGCTGGGTTGGAGTTTTGTAGCAGCGAGGTGGGTTATTTGAGTGAAGTCCAATTCCTTCCCTTGCATGCTCTGGCTGGTTTCCTCATCTCGCTCCGTGTGCTTGGAAAGCCCAGTAGGTGCCATTCCAATCAGTGCTGCTGAGTGCGGTGCCCATTTCCCCATTCTTGAGAAGGAATGGCTTTCGTTCAGAGCTGAGATTTCCTGGGAATGGGCGCAGAAAGGCACGGAGAGCATCTTTCCAGCGGGGGTGAGCGAAGACTGAGCTGCTTTCTCTTCTGCTCGTGCCAGGAATGGAGCCGGGGATTCTTCCCTTTATCCTGCCTCCAGCCGTTTATAGCCTTGTTGAAAACTGTGATTTGGGGGGCTTTTCTGAGAGGAAGAACAAGTAATCTGTCTTTTATCTTGGTCTTCTGAAAGCAGGGGGGTATGTTTCTCACTCACACAGCACGGGGAATATAGCTGACAGAGATCCTTCTGCTCCCTGTCCAGTGTGCAGATGGCAGGCGGAAGGGCGAACCTGGGGGGTCTGTCGCAGCCTCCTGGGCAGACTGTGGTTGATGCTGTGTGAGTAACACCTTAGCTGGCGTTAGCAGGCTAATGTGAAATCCAGCGTCTAATTGCAAGCTTTAGGTAGTGGAATATTCAGGAGTGATGCTTTTCCAGGTTTTTTTTAAATAGATAGCAAATGCTCTGTGTCTATCTACTTCATCACTGAAGAGAGAGAGACTTTTTCATGAGCCTTGCGTCTGTTAGTTTGCTTTGTTTTTCTAGACCCCTACTTGTGATCCTCCAGGCATCAACATCTTAAATGCCAATGACAGTAACTTTCCGTTTAACATCACAGGAGCCTCCCAGTTGGTCAGCAGTTGTCGTTACCTGCTTCCGTAACGCTTTTTCGAAGCCGAGCTCTTTTTCCCCCAGATTTTGTGTTGTGCCAGTTGTGCTGCAGCTACTTGGTTATGGCCTCTGTTAGAGCCACCACTTCCTGGCTGCTATAAATAGCCATTATATAAATTAGCCATAAATATAAATAACGCCTGAGAGGTGTTATTCCTGCAGTCAGGAAGGACGTACCTGGATGGAGACGAAGAATACGTGGACCTCTGCAGAGCTTGCGGTTACACAGTCCACTCAGTTTGTCATTAATGCAGTAATGATTGAGCCCTGCCTTGAAAGCACTCCCCAGGATGTCTGTAAATCATTACAGTCTTTGGGGGGGCACTCAGGTTTTCTGAAAGACCTTTGCTTTTTGTTTTAGGAACCTCATGCACCGATTATGGTAGAGAATTGGTTTGAGTTTTCTTACTGTCTGTATACATGCAGCTGACCGCACCAGCACCGTATTCTGAGAAGGGAGATGTGTTAACGTCACGCGAACGGCTGACTCCTTAATCACTTTGTGCACGCACTTTCAGCATAAACTGACTTCATGTGGCAAACGCTCCAAAATTCTTAGCAGAAATGTAGTGCTGATAGACTCTTGGGAAAAAGTTACCAAGAATTCCTTCTGTAAATCCGCTAGATCTAACTCAGTATCACGCCTCAGAGAGGCCTGAACAAGCAAGCGTTCGCTCTGGCCTTTTGGTTCTCAATCAATACGTCTGTCCATCGATCTTCACAGATCGTCAACTGGTAGAAGACGGATTTCACTTTTTCCGTTCATGTTCTGGTAGTTTCTAGAGGAAAAAGCGTTTTAGGAATGAACTGTTGATTCTACAGCCACTGACTGCCAGGGAAGAAAGGCACAAGGGGTAACGCAACATCTCATCTTTTAGCTAGTGGTGCAGGCTGCTCGCACAAAGAAAGGTGAACTGCTGTTTCCAGGACCCAGGGAGTCGACTTAATGATTGAACATGTTGAATTCACTCCTCTTTGCATGGCTTCCTGATGTGAAATACTAGTATTTATTTCCAACAGGAACTATCTGTGCTATAACCGACGCAGGGAAAAGCTGTTATCTCCTGTAGAATGTATGTGTCTTTCATAGAACTGTAAGGAATAGCTGTCGGATCAGAATCTGTCAGAGTAAAGGGTTGAAATCATCAGTTCACTGTTTTAAAATGAATTTTATCGGTTACCCCAGCAGCTGAGTTATCTCACTTTACAAAAATGAGTATCAAAACACAATGTCATAATGGGCATAAAGGAAATACAACCACTGTAAAAATTCCAAACTTGTGTGTGAAGCAAAATGTTTTTCCTGTAGATTTTTAAAATCACACCGGAGGAGGTGATTACCAGAAACATAATCATTATTAACTGTCCAGAATGCCTCTTGCAGATGGTGCCGGTAGGCCTCTCCCCGCCGTGCTGAGGTGTGCAGGTGCTAGGCCTGGGGTGTTTTCAGTGTGTGCACACCGCGAGGAGCAGCAAGGCAGACAGCGGTGTCTGTCGCACTCGGGAACTGCTGGAACAGACGTTGTCCCTATTCATGCTGTGTCTGACAAAACAGTTAGTTAGTAATGCTAACAAATCTCTTTTCATTATTTTCTAGGGCCCTTTAGAAAATGATTTGGTAGTACATGTGGCCCTGATAGCGGAAAGTCAGCGGTATGTATTTACTTTTATTAAGAATATATGTATGAAGGAAGTGTTGAACAACAGACATCTTAAATGTGCTAAAGGTATTCAAGGAAGCGTAGGATACAATACTGCTGCTCGTGTGTCTGCTGCTGAGAAAGTGTTAAAAGTAAGAGGATTCTGTGATTTGTCGTTAAATTTGTCATTATTTTACTCATAGCCTACAGGTCTTTCTGAACACGTATGGGATCCAAACTCAGACCCCGCAGCAGGTGGAACCAATTCAGATATGGGCTCAAAAAGAACTTGTCAAAGTAAGGAATCCTCTGTTTAAAATCATTTATCTACCTGTACGTTTCTGTTGTAACAAGGAGATTTTACATCAAGCTCTTAGACTTGCACGTGCTTAAGCTGGTTATCTACCCTTCTGTGTTACCCTGCTTCAGCCGCAAGGTACTGCCGACACGGGGCAGTTACACCGTGTAGGTGGGGTGACACGCTGAGGCCCAGATGTTCTGGATTATCTGATTGGGCTTGTTAGCTGAGCTGCTTTGACAGAATAATGATTGAGCAATAGAATTTTCATTATGTTAACAGCACAGTAGACCAAGTGAGACCTGGAGAAACCAGCAAAGGAGCTGTAGTCAAAGAAATGGATTAAGGCAGTAGGTGTAAACCATTATGTCATGTCATGTGCAGTCCCTGTCACAGGCATTGGTGTTGTGCTTTAACCAGTCTTCTGTGACGGGTTTTTTAGAAGTTTTTTAGAGTTTGACTATAACCAGGAAGTTTGGTGTGTAAAGCCGTTTTGGGTTACCCCTTTAACCCGGCACATTTGAAAATTACTCTCCTGCAGGAGGTCCCCAGCATGCCCTCCACCCTCTGTGAGGGCTTCGGGATTTCCTTTTCTGTGCAGGCAAGAAGCTCCTATCGGAGCACCGTACCCTGTCCCTTCAAGGCTGGCCCTTTCGGTCCCGGCTGTACCGAGCCTCACTGATGATGCCCGCTTAGCTGCATCTGTTCAGGTAGCTGTCAGCGCCGCCTGAGGCCGGCAGACATGACTGGTGTCTGCAGGCCATACCAGTCCATCCCAGCATTCTGTTAGCGCTGCCGCCGCCTCTTCTGCGTTCGTTTTTAGCACTGTGTACACGGCACTTGGGCTGTGCTGAGTATGTGCTTCGAGCTGTCAGCTGCTGTTTGCCCCGGGAAGAGATTTCAGCATGAGAGCCTGTGACAAGTGCTGCTCTGAACGATCAATGTGATGGTCAGCAATTGTAGGG